GTTTTTGCATATTGTCACATTTTCAATGTTTTTTAACCAAATTAAAACAACTAATGTTAAAGACATTGTTTTGCCTGATTGATAATGTATTCTTTGTGTTTGTGTCAGTCTGTTAGCAAAATAWCTCATGAAACACAATGTGAATTTTAACAAAACTTTCAGGAAATGATCAATATTTGTACAGCTATGACTGATTACCTTTTAAGAAGGCTGCTACAGCCAACAGACATTAAGAAGTACAATCTGTAACTACGTCACTTTTAATATTTTTTAATATTGTAAAATTAGACATGGCAGCAGCAGAGACTGATTCACAACAAATATTTCCATCACAAACACACTTTACAACTTTTTTGTTAAAAATATTTGTCTTTAACTATTTGGACTCTACTCATGTCTGTTAGCAAAAAAATTTATGAACCACTTGACAGATTTTAATAACAATTTGATATTGTTGTAGCTGAGCGTTATTCGCAACACATACTTCAGGTGCTACTTTATTGTGAAATATATTTACCTAAAAATTTTTCCGTAACCTATTGGAGTCAACCCTGTTTGTCTGTTAGCGAAATATGTCATGAACGACTGGGTAGATTTTAGTGAAACTCTCAGAAAGCAATCATCAGATGTACGTTTTTGACTCATTAACTTTTGGAGTCAATCCAATTCAAGATGTTGATTTTAAAAAAGCATTCGACACCACTGACCACATGTTCTTCTTGAAAAGCTACATAAATAGGGAATTAGAGGACCAGCACTACAATGGGTATCTAGTTATCTCAAAAACAGGAAACAGTTTTATACAGATAAATGATGTAAGATCTGAACACTGTAGCATCACATGTGGAGTTCCTCAGGGTTCTATACTTGGACCAAAGTTATTTATTTTATATGTAAATGATTTGGTTAATGTGTCAAGGTTGTTTAAATGTGTTTTATTTGCAGATGATACAACTTTTTTTTATTTGGGAAAAGGTATAGAAAGAATGTTGGAATTAATGCAAACAGAATTTGTGAAAATACAAAATTGGTTTAAACTTAATAAATTATCGTTAAATAGATAAAACAAATTGATATTTAGTAATAGATAGGGAATTGTTATGTTTCATTTAGAGTTGATGGTGTTGAGATCTGTAGAGTCAGTGAAGTGAAGTTTTTGAGTGTCATCATTGATGAAAAGCTGACATGGAAACCTCACATTAATTATTTAAGAACAAAAATTGCTAACTCTATTGGAGTACTGTATAAAGTAAGGGAGTTATTCAATGATAGAGCTTTGTATATGTTGTATAATGTAATRGTTGTTCCACACTTGATTTATTGTGTTGAAGTCTGGGGGAAAGCATGTAAAACATTCATAAACCCTATTTTTTGTTTTACAGAAAAGAGCGGTGAGAATTATTATAAGAAAACACTACTGTCATCCATCAAATACATTGTTTTGTCAGTTGAAATTATTGAAATTCTATGAGTTGGTTGATTATAATATTTTACGGTTATGTATAAGGTTCACAAATGCGTATTACCCTTAAACAACCAATTACATTTTGTTACAGGGGCTACATCAYGTAAAATCAACTTTTTTGAGTTTTATCATGTTATAATGTTATCTCATTAAAAAAAACATGCCCAAAGTCTTACTTTGACTCGTGTTTGAGAAATCCTGTAGTGTCCTGAGGCAGCCAGGCAGGGGAGCAAAAACGACAGATTGGGACTAGAAACACCTTTTGGGACCATCTCTGCCTCTGCTCTGTCTCCAAGCTGAGCTTCCTCATCACGGAGCACACCTCCCCAACCCCCCACACCCCGCCCATGACCCCTGCGGCAGTAACAAAGCAAACAACGGGTGAAAATGAAAGTGAAACTGAAACTGTCTGCTGAGCTCCTAACTACTTCTCACTCAGTGAAGC